TAAAAGAACAATTTAGTACACAATACTTCCATCATGCTCAAAATTAGGTCTTATCTTCAATTTCGAAGAGTTTATTTCCAGGACTCAAACCTTCAACAAACACGGAAAAAAAAAAAAAAAAAAAAATGTAAATAAAAAAAAAGAGAGAGAGAGAGAGAGAAAAAGAAAGGAAGTAGTATTTCCCCCAACCCCCCCAATAAAGAAACCTCTTTTACTCCAAACTCCAATTTGATGATTACTCAACGGATTGAACGACAAAGAGGACAAGTACTATGTTGATTGTCAAACCACTTTTGAAGACAACCTTTGTGAAAGAAATGCTTGCAAGACAACTCACTCACTTCCTCATTATCTTCATACCCACACAAACAAACACAACACTCAACTGAACAGCACATCCTCATGTTCCCACCACCACTGCCGCCGCCGTCGCAGCCGCAGCCGCAAGATCTGTTTTTAGATAAAGATTTGAACTTTGTAATGGACACTGCTCTCCTTGATCTTCCAACTTCGCTTGATTGGTCTTCCTCTGAAGTTGGAGAAAACCCATAAAAACCCACAACTTCAAACATATATCTGACCATATTTTCCAACAGAGACACTAACAAAATTGTGTTCATCACTAGCACATAAAGAAACCCTTCACCTGAGCTTGGAAGGTTGTACAGACCCATCTTTCTCTCTCCTCAAAAAACAAACACAAATGACTCAATGAGAGAGAAAGAGAAAAAAAGAAGAACAATAAGAAGAAGAAAGCAAATTTGCTTCCACAGATTGAAACATAAAACCAACCTGAGGTTGCAGATAAATGTAGGAGGCTAGTTTGTGGCTGCTACATACTAACCAGCATTGTGTTAACCATGGTTAGGGAGTTTGTTAACCATGGTATGTTGGGCCAAGGGGTGCACGTGGCAACACGTGTGAGGTTTCTGAGTGCTCCTTCAAGAGAAATAAATTGGGTAAGAAAATGTTATGAATTTTAAAAAAATTATTAAATTTTTATTAATTCTCTTATATTAGCGTGATTTATGTGCGTAAGTTTTATATTTAGACCACCTCTAACGGTTTATCAAACCCAGCATCAAATTTAAAATTTAGTGAAAAAGTTACTGTTTGATACTCCAACGGTTGCACCAAATCGATATCAAAATGAGATTTCACCAAACATTTTATCAAACTGAGAACAGGCGAAGTATTTCACCAAATCACTATTACTGACCGTTGGGGTGATACCAACCGGTCGACCAGCCGGTTGACCAACCGGTCAGCCAGTAAAAGATTCAAATAGTTTAAAAAAAAAGTTCAAATAGTTCAAAAAAAAAATAATAATAATAATTTCCCTAACCGGTCAATCGGCCGGTCGACCACCCGGTCGTCCCGGAAAAAGTTCAGAAAGTTCAACAAAAACGGTTCAGACAATTAAAAAAAAAAAAAAATTCACTCATCGGTCGACCAGCCGGTCGACCACCCGGTTGTCCCGGGACAGATTTGGTGAAAGATGAATCGTTGGAGCATCTGGTACCAGATTTGTGAAATGAGTCATTTTTGACTCAAATTTGATGAAAAATCTAATTCACCGTTAGAGATGCTCTTAAATGGGAGGTTTGATAAAAAAATTAATAGATTATTTATAATTTCTAGACTAACTCAAAAGGGTAAGTTCGAGGTTGCCACGTGCCCAATAGCTTTTGGTGGAACAATAGGATGGTGACGCGTGGTGTTCGCTGCGACGTTTAAGTTTTGGACAAATTATAAACGCTCTTCTCGAAGTTTGGTGAAAATATAGATTCTCTCTTAAAGTTTGAGAAATTACGAATTGTCCTTTAAGGTTTTTATTTTCATAACAAATTGTCCCCTGAAGTTTTTATTTTCATACAGATTTTTTCCTAATTTGTTATGCAAATTTGACCTTCAGAAGATAATTTGTAATTTCTCAAACCTCAGGGAGAAATCTGTATTTTCACCAAATCTCGAGAAGGTGTTTGTAATTTGCCCTTAAGTTTTTTATTTTATTTTATTTATTTATTTATTTTATTTTTTTTGAGATGAGTTGGCAGAAGTTTCCTGATATGCGACGTGAATGCGTTATTTGTGGTCTTAAAATAATGTAAAATATTTAAATAATTTTTTATTTTGAAAAAATTACAAAAAAAAAAAAAAAATTGTTTCAATTGTTTTTTTTTGATAATGACATTATAATTATTAATTTTAAATTTTAATGATACGTTGAAATTTTTAAATATAATTAGGACAAATTATGATGATAGTCTCTAGATTTTACTCTTTGTATCATTTTAGTTTTTGTATTTTTAATTGGTTTAATTTTGATTTTAAATTAATAATTTTGTCTCAATTTAATTCAATTGATTATAATTCGTAGCATTTTTCATGAAAAATGTGCACATAAATATCACGTGTCATATTTTTAAGGTCAAAATTGTAAGCTTACTCAATTCAGTTAGTTAACCTCAATTAATTTTGTAATAATTTTTCTTACGAAACACTAACAATATTATTACTTGAACCAAATTGAAACAAAATATAAAATTAAAGATTAAAATTGAGTTAATTGAAAGTGTAATAACCAAAATAACCCAAGATAATTTGTTCATATATCATTATATAATATAAACTAAAAGGACCTAGCTTCCCTCTAGGTCCAGATCAGACTGAAGGGTATTGTTGGACCTGTGATGACCCACTACGGGACTCATTTTGATAATTTGAATAGTTCAATATATAAAACTCGTAGAGTAATATATGCCCGTAAAAAATCAAGTTGATCGGATATCGATAGTTACGTGATCAAATCAATTTTGTATAAAAAAATGGATGGTGAAAAAATAAATAGTTGACAGAAAACTGATCCGATGAGATAGCTATCAATATCCGATCAAAATGATTTTTTTTAAGCATATAGTACTCGACGTGTTCTACACATTGAACAGTTTAAATTATCAAAATAAAACCCGTGATAAGCTCCCGCAAGGTCAATAATACCTTTCAGTCCGATTTGGGACTCGGGGGAAGCCACTACCAAACAAAAACATTGTGGCCTCTTCAAGATTGAAAATCTCAACATAATTTTTTCATACTTAAAGCACATGTCATTTTGTGATTAGTCTACAATCTAATTTATATAAATTAAGTTAATTTTTAAATCTTCTTAATCATTACCAATAATATATTAGTATTATTTTCTTAAATATTGTGATTTTAAAACATGCAATGATGTAATTATTAATTTTAATTTCAATGATTATGGTATGAAATCTATATTTACACCTATACTTCTATCTATCTATCTTATTATATAAAAATATTATTAGTTAAATTTTAAGTCCTCTCAATCAATGCCAATAATATATTGAAAAAGGCTTTACATCACTAGTACAACATTAATGAGGTGACACCATGTGGACCCTATCACTGATGTAATAGTTTGGCTTTGTTTTTTTTTTTTTTTCTTGCACTGCCAGCTCATTAGAGTTGGCATTAGTGCTACTATTTTAGTGGTCTGTATCACCACTGATAATATATTAGCATTATTTTCTTAAATTTTGTGATTTCAAAACATGAAATGATGTAATTACTATTTTTTAGTTTTAATGGTTATGACATGAAATCTATATTCATATCTATATTTCTATTTATACTATTATATAAAAATAGTGATGTTACACACACTAATTTAATTACTATACCAATTAGTAAAGTAACACATGTTATAGCATTGTAATTTCAAAATTATGAACCCTACCCATTATACAAACTATATAAATTTAAAGTTAATACAACTATGCCACATTATCTGTTAGTAAACTAATTAGTATACCAATTAGTACGTATAATTTTTTTTATATAAAAATATTATTCGCTAAATTTTAAATTGTCTTAATTACTGTCAATAATATATTAGTATTATTTCCTTAAATTTTGTAATTTCAAAACATGCAATGATATAATTATTATTTTTAGTTTCGATGATTATGGTATAAAATCTATATTTATATCTATACTTCTATTTATACTATTATATAAAAATATTATTTGATCAATAACTTTAAAACTTATAATCTAAATTATAGAAATCTCAATATAATTTTCTCATATTTTAAAAAATTTTAACACTTAAAATACACATGTCATTTTATGATTAATCTAAAATCTAATTTACATAAATTAAGTCAATTTGTAAATCCTCTTAATCATTGCCAATAACATACTAGTATTATTTTCTTAAATTTTGTGATTTTAAAACATGCAATGATGTAATTATTATTTTTCAATGGTTATGGTATGAAATGTATATCTACTAGCGTATGCTCGTGCCTGAAGGCATGGTGTAAATAATTTTTTAATTAGATAAATTCACATAACTCTCACGAAAACTCACTTTTACTTATATAATATATAGCTAGTTAGACAGATGTACCTCGTCAAAAGTGTAATTAATTTTTTTTTTTAAAAAAAAGGATAGAGAGAGATTCTCTATCTTTAGGACTCATGCATCACAATTGACAAACACATTTCTAGAGACATGGTTTTCATTTTTCTTCATCTTTCTCACCTCTAGGATCCCCAAATTCCTCATACATATACACACACATTTGCAGATATATATATATATATATATATATATATAGATACAGATCAATAACAATTTGTATCATCATCAAAAACCCACTTTCCCTCTCTGTGCGAAAATGGCTTCAGTGATACACACACATTTCTTTTTTTGATCTCTTATTTTTAACACCACGTGAGAGTGTAACTTAACTGGTTTATCGAGATGTAAGTAGCCAAATCTTTTGAAATGGCATATAGTTATCCTGTAGCATGTCTAAAATACTTGTTTCCTGCCTCCCCGAATTTCCAATATTTAGGTTCATGGTACCTCACTCCCCTGTTCCACAGAGTGCACAAATAAGACATCTAAAAGCTTAACACCTTTTCAACATCCAGTTAACAGTAAGAATTTTAGGACAAAATTCCACTTACTTCTGAGCAAGGATAGGACCAGTTTCATACATCCGATATACACCCGTGGCTTTTTCCTGTATCTTGCCAAAGTTTCTCCTAGTGTTACTGCAAAATTTACAACATCTTACCCAATGCAACAAAATAAATAAATAATTTGTAGAGTTACAAACATATATAATTTCATTTTCAAATAAAACTTGTTTAATCAATCATATCAGTCGTAGATTTGAATTTAGAGGTTCATATGAACATGGGCATATGAAGTTTCTACCCCGATTGGGAATTTAAAAGTTGTAACACATTAAGTGTCTTGCATCTATATATTGGATTTTAGACTTTCATGTATGCATTTTATTTTTATATCAAGTACTAAAAACAAATTGCTTACCTATATTTACATGAACATCATCATCAACTTTCACATAAAAATCTGCATCCCATGAAGCAACAGTAGCAGCAAAATATGACTTTGTCTTCGCAGACAGTTCAAGGTAGCCCTCAACATGATCCTACTCACATTATAGTAACATAATGTAAATAACGAAAGGATTTTTAAAGTGACCATAGTGTACAGCAGAACGGCCAATAGTAGATGTAGAAGAGAGTAAGAAGAGAGGAAGTATTACCAGCCTCAATAAATCTCCATGTTTTTTGTCCTCTGCTTCAATGGCTCTATCTAGTATACCTCCAACTGTGTGATTGGTAATGCAGAAACAACAGATTATATCATTCAGTATGTCTAAAACTGTACTCTATGATTGTTAATCTACAAGGACAATACAGTAAGATTAATTTCCAAATGTGTGATGTGTATTCATTGGATTTGAAGAGACAGTGTTCAGTGAATAAAGTAAGATTATAGTATCATGATTGTCAAGTTATATTTGCAATTTCAAACTAAACTGGGAAAAAAATTATAGATAAAAACCTTTTATCTTCATCAAATGACTCACTAAGGTGCATTAAGGACTGTTTTATACATACAATTTACAACTAAGGAACACAGACTGAGTAGGGAAAAGAGTTCGGCTTTGCTTCATGAATATAAGTTACAGAAGTATGCTAACGAACCAACAAACCTTTCAGCTGTAAAAAAATTGGATATGATCTATTAATTGCAACCCATTGGCTGTTGATATGGTTGGCTACAAAATAACTATAATATGGCTACCATCTTTTTTTTTTTTTTACACACACATTTGCAGAGATATATATAGATATTTTAAGGCAAAATTTGAAATCGCAATTCAAAGCAAAGTGTTGTGAATTGAAGCCAGTCGGAGAGAAGGGAGATGATGATAAACAGAAATGAGAATCTCACCTGAAATATTTGAAAACCCTTTGGTTTAATTCATGTGATTGGAATCATAATAGTGAGAAACCATTTTAGTCTTTTACTTTCTTGACTATAAACACACAGCACAGAGCATGAAACAAAAAAAAAAAAAAAAATAGACAGACACAAACAGGACATATGCACACAAAATGAGTTGTCTTTAAAAAAGTTAAAGTCCCAAAATGTTCAGAACATAAACTCAGTGTCGCAAGCCTTTGAAGGCAAAATCTGAAATCGCAATTCAAAGCAAAGGGTTGTGAATTGAAGCCAGTCGGAGAAAAAGGAGATGATGATAAACAAAATGAGAATCTCACCTGAAATATTTTTCTGGGAGATGATGATAAACAGAAATGAGAATCTCACCTGAAATATTTGAAAATCCTTTGGTTTAATTCATGTGATTGGAATCATAATTGTGAGAAACCATTTTAGTCTTTTACTTTCTTGACTATAAACACACAGCACAGAGCATGAAACAAAAAATAAATAAATAATAGACAGACACAAACAAGACACATGCACACAAAATGAGTTGTCTTTAAAAAAGTAAAAGTCCCAAAATGTTCAGAACATAAACTCAGTGTCGCAAGCCTTTGAAGGCAAAATCTGAAATCGCAATTCAAAGCAAAGGGTTGAGAATTGAAGCCAGTCGGAGAGAAGGGAGATGATGATAAACAGAAATGAGAATCTCACCTGAAATATTTTTCTGCTTTCTTCGCAAGCCTTTGAAGGCAAAATCTGAAACTGAAATATTTTTCTACTTTGATTGAAGCCAGTCGGAGAGAAGGGAGAGATAAAGAAGAGGAACAAAGAGGGAGATAGAGATAAGGATGAAATGGGAGGAGACGTGCAACAGAAAGGGAGAGAGAGATAAAGATGGAAGGGGGAGGAGACATGGGAGAGAGAGAGAGAGTAGAGTGTGTTTGGACGGGAAACAAATTACTCTCAACCATTAGATATTCATTAGGATTGATCTAAACCATTCAAATGAAGTGTATCTTTGATACATTTTACATATTTTTAAAAATCGCTCTGTCTTATTATATAGATATCCATATTTCTATCTATACTATTACATAAAAATATTATTGGCTAATTTTTAAGTCCTCTTAATCAATGTCAATAATATATTAATATTATTTCCTTAAATTTTGTGATTTCAAAACATGAAATGATATAATTACCATTTTTAGTTTCAATGGTTATGATATAAAATCTATAGCTATATCTATACTTCTATTTATACTATTATATAAAAATATTATCAGGTCAATAAATTAAAAAATTATAATCTAAATTATATAATATAAGCAAAAACGTTGTAACCTCTTTGACATTGAAAATATCAATATAATTTTTTCATATTTTTTGAATTTTTCAACACTTAAAATACATATGTCATTTTGTTATTAATCTAAAATCTAATTTACATAAATTAACATAATTTTTCTCTTAATCATTGTCAATAATATATTAGTATTTTCTTCAATTTTGTAATGATGTACTTACTATTTTTAGTTTCAATGGTTATAGAATGAAATATATATATATATATATCTCTGCTTCTATCTATACTAGTATATAAAAATATTATTAATTAATTTTTCAATCCTCTTAGTCATTGCCAATAATATATTAATATTAGTTTTTTAAGTTTTATGACTTCAAAACATGCAATGATGTAATTATTATTTTTAGTTTTAAAGGTTATAGTATGAAATCTATATCAATATATATACTTCTATCTATAGTATTATATAAAAATATTATTGGGGCAATAAATTTAAAACTTCTAATCCATTTTTTTTATTATATATTTTTTAAATAATAAAATACAAAAGTATATGTGTCATAAATTTATTTGTTATTTCACTTTAATTATAATTATTGATATTTTTAATTATTATGGCAATATATTTCAAATTTCATAATTAGCATTTTTTAAAGTATTAAATGTATGGTTCTTTATGATATTAATATGAAAAATAAATCAGAATTTTAAACTATAATAACAATGGAACATTACTTTACCAAATTTAATTTGTTTATAGTATAATAGTAAACTTGAATCCATGCAATACATATTAATCACAATCTATCAATGTTAATTTTAAAATTTTAGTATGCAGAGTTCTTTTTTTTGGTTCAAATTTTACATTTTATTTTTCTTAAAAAAATCTTACAATTTTTTTTTATAATTTTTAAAAGCTAAGAAATATATTTGGCATAAAACTAATGGCACATTAAACTATATATCTAATTTAAAATTTTTATATGGAAAGTCCAAAACAAAATTTTATAAGCCACATTCCATTAGAAATTTGAAAATTTAAAATATTTAAGATTTTAAATATGCAATTTAATAATATTATGGTGATCGTATTTGGTGGTAGCTAATGTAACGGTATAAAGACAATAATTACATATGTCATATGACGCCCATCTAAGAGGGAGTTTTTATGTGCACTTAGGGCCGAGCTAGGCCCAGTCATTGCAGTGGACTGATTCATGGGCTGAAGTAAAAAGGGCTTTGCAAATTGGACCTAGCTTTGTTAGCTCAGTCTAAATATGGTGGCAGTTATTTCGGTCGAAGAGATGGCTGCAGATAGCTCGGTCTATATACTCTGGTTCAAGGTATAGTTGAACAGTAGTCGAGCTAAAGCGTCGCTTGTGGACGCGCCGAGCTAAATTGTAAGAGCAAGGTGGGATCGAGCTAAGTGAAGCTCAGTTAAATCTATCGCTTAAAGTGTAGCGGTGTTAGCTCGGTCATGTTATCATTCAGCCGTAGTAAAACCATCTCACTTGGTTGAAGCAGTGAGGGGGGTGTAGATAGACGAGCACTACCTTTCTGATTCCTAGGAGGACTTTGCAAGTGAATAATAAGAGTCCTACTAGGATTGTGCCAGGTAAAATGCATAAAAGCTCATAACAGGACCTATGGACAAGTATCACAACTTTGATTCTCGAATACACAGAGCTTTTGTCTATTTGTCCATTTTTCTGACTTAGGCATTGGAGAGGTATCCGGTACACACCCGCTGGTAGCTCATGTTTATGTTTTCAGGGAGTAAAGCGACGACGTTTGGAGGAGCACATACTTGATCGACAGGATTATATGAGAATATTATTTCGTGCTCGTACAACGTGGGAAGTAGACAAAGAACAAAACCTCTTGATCAAGTTCTCCTCTCTGGTTGAAGGCAATGGCGCATGATGAAGACTTGCCGCAATCTGCTGTTGATAGGCAAACCCTTGAGGGGGATGGGAGGCACGAACGAAGGTTTACCTTCCATCCCACCCATGGCGAATTTAGAACCTCAGCGACGGAACTCCCGGAGGGATGCGAGGGAGAGACGGGGCACTAGCCCCTGCTGCTCTCAAAGTCCCGAAAGACAGAGGCGGAGGTTGGATCCTCAAGTTCTGGAAGATCGCATGAGGGAGCAAGACGAATTAATTAGGAAGATGACGGCAGACATGGAGACGATGAAGAGCCAGATAAAAGGGAAAGGGGTGGCGACAGGAGAGGGGCGCAAAAGCAACACGCCCCCTCGCCACTCAGAGATCGTGACAGGCAGGTCACACCATCACAAGCAGAAAGCAAGAGCCTTAAAACATGCGATACTCAATCGAGGACTGCTAGGACTCGTTACTCCAGGTCTGAGAGAATGAGGACTGAGAGGTTGTATACGGGAAGCACTTATTGGCCCTCGCACATGCATCAGACGACATCAAGGCACTCGGAGTTACCTAGATCTGCGGACCTACGAACAGTGTTAGAGGAGAGGGCCCGATGGAAGGAAGACACTAGGGCTCGCGACCCTCGTAGAGTTTTAGCCCTACAGCGATTGGCCCCTAGGACACACGGGAGTGTCGAGGTAGGGATGCCAATACTGCGCCTTGCTTACGAACGAGCGGAGAAGGTATTAGCAAGGTTAAAGAGCTCGCCGTTCGTTCCGGCAATAGAGAACGCACCACTACCTTCGGGCTTCCACCAGCCAAATTTATTACTTATGAGGGAAAGACGGACCCATACATGCACTTAAGCCACTTTTGCCAGGTTATGGCAGTATACCGGCAAAACGAGGCCCTAATGTGCATCCTGTTCCCATCCAGCCTTGGTGATTTAGGTCTAACCTGGTTCGAAAGGCTACCAGAAGGCAGCATCGCCTCATAGGCACAACTAGCAGAGGCGTTCGTGACTAGATTCAGAACGAACACCAAGACACCGGTGGAGATCGATCAGCTACTCTCCATTGACATGGGCGATAAGGAGAAATTAAGGTCCTACAATAGCCGATATTGGGAGACTTTCAACCAGAATGGGGATTGCCCTACAAATCTCGCCATTGCACAATACAAACGGG